GTGAGCCATTTGTCTCAGGAATGTAGTTATGTTTAGTATAACTACTGCATTTCAGATTGGCCAAACTTAGGAGCTCATATCAAGTTGTATCACAAACTGAGCACACATGCTTTCATTACATCCAGCTCCCTGAGACATAATCACATGCGCAGTGTGAAGGCTTGGGAAGGCTGCCATGCCAGGGCAGGGAACCCAGGACTGTCCCCTCGTGGCTTCTCATAAGCCGTGAGAGTTCAAAAGTCACTGCTTCCTAATTAGTTTCACAGAGTTTCTCCGAAGGATGGTGGAAACTGGCCGGAGGGTCTCCAGTGTGCTTTTCCATCTTTATGGTCTTGGATTCTAGTTTTGTTCTTTCTTTTGTTTAAGATAGGGTCTCAATATAATGCATTGGCTGTCCTGGAACAAAAATTAAATTCTGTGCAACAGCCTCAGTCTTCAGGAGGGCAAAGGCAATGCTTGCTTTGAAAGGACAGCTAAACATTCCTGAGCATCTTCAATGATTTCAGGAGCTTGAGAAGAAATCACCAAGTCCAGAGCTGAAAATAACACGGCCTGTGAGTCCCAGTTCCTCTCCCCAAACCCATTTGGATCTGAGGAAAATGTTCCTAACACAGTCAGCTAAAATATGGGCTGAAGGTTTGGGCCTCGATTCTCTCTAGTGATCCGTGGAAGAACAAGACACAGACCACCACAAACCTCACATAGTCTTGTGTCTTTGCAGGAAGTAAGAGCAGAAACTGTTTTGTAGTGCTTGTGGAACACTAACCCTTCTGTACAAACCTCCTTAGCCAAGAAGCCAAGGCCAAGCCAGGCCAGTTCCGAGAGTTTTCCCTGGCAGGGGCCGCTCATATACACACGAGCCACAGTTCCGTGTCTGCACGCAGCACACGCCACAGCCAGGCTGGCCTGTCATTTGCTCTTTAGGGGAAAAGGGCTGTCATGGTTACTTTGAAATTAGATTAAGCTGTGACAACTAAATCAGAAAGAGCATATTTGCTCGCTGAGCCCTTCACTTCATCACGTTACACTTAACAGTGCCAGCCACTGCCAAGGTATTTCTGTTTCTCTCAATTGCTTCCAGGCAGTTCTGTGGTTTTTGACTTGCACTGATCTTTTTCAATGAAAATAAATGAACCATCTGGAAAAATAAGTACACTTAAAACACCACTTCCTACATTTTAAATGTTAAATTTGGAAATGTAGCATTTTTTTTCCAGAGGTGTTTGGTGCGTTCTGAGTGCCTAAGGTTTAATAAAACTTCCTGAAGACAGGCTGGGAGGAGAAGAGCCAGTGTTCCAATGGTGGTGTGAGCTGTGGAAAGCGGCTGTATTCAGCAGCCCTATATCCTTGGTTCCCGCTGAGTGGTCCACCTCCCAGAAGCACCGATGCCAGGACAGGTATGAGGGCGTCGACACTCTCGAGGCCCCAGAAAATGCACTCTTACCAAGCGGAAAGCTGATGACGCGAAGGCTAGGCAGGCTTCTTAAGGAGGGAGCTTCCCTCTGCAGCCCAGAGGACAGAGTCAGAAGGCAAGCGGGGCCAGGCCCTGACTGACGTGGTAGGGTCTACTAGAAGGCACCAGTCCGCCTCACACTCCTGCTAGGGTCTTCCTTCAGGGTCTGGTGGGGTTCTTATGCCACCATCACGCAGGGTAGTGCGGTGCTTTCCACCCAGGAATGGAGACTGCCACGCTCATCCCTCTTCTCAGAGAGGGACAGGTGTCATTGCTAGTGGGGCCAACTGGAGTTCCAGGAGTCCAGCCCCGCCTGTTTCTTCCACTCAGAGCCCCCCAACTTCAACACTGATACTTCTAGGTGAACAGACTTGGGAGTAAGGAAGAAAACCCCAGGATTCTATTGGAGTGCAGAACTAGACAGGACACCAGAGGTCAGAAGCCCACTGCCACCCAGCCTCTCTTTGTGAAAAGACTCTGAAAAGCAGATGGCAGTAAACACCACCTGTCCCTCTTTCAGGAATGTCCCAGAGAGCCACCGTGATGGTGTACAAGTCCTCCAGCATCAAGGAAGGGCCACTGCTGCTGAGCCCCCACCTCAGAGCACACTCTCCTGATCCTCAGACCCACCCAACAGGGAAGAAGTCGTACTTCGGAGGGGTAGGAAGCAAAATGTGCTTACTGGGTACTCCTGATACAAGTCGAAGTGGTCTTAACACTCGGAAGGCACGGAGGGCTTTGACATCAAAGCCTCCTGATTTGCCACTAGAGTGGTTCCCGCCTTCTGTTTCTTTGGTTAATTGTTCCAAAATGACACTAAACAATCTGGAAGAGGAATAGAGAAACACGCGTTAGCCTGTCATCCAGGTAGGTAAAACAGCATGTTATTAGTGGTTATTTTAACAAGGGCTATTTCTGGGCAAAGGCTAACTAAATAAAAGGCAGCTAAACAAAGGCGAGAACCTGGCCATGGGACCCTAGCCTGCTCTGCTTACCTGAAGGACCTCTGATGGATGCCACCAAAGCAACCAGAAGCAGGGGCTCATTGAGAACAAAGGGCATTGCAACAATGGTAAAGGTCTTGGTAGTCAGGGCTTGCGAACCTGAATTGTATGCTAGGCACTTCACATCTGCCACCATGCTTGCCCTCACAAAAGCCTTCTCCTGTAGCATTGTCAAGACCCCTTTACATACGTGTTGACAGGAAAGGCTCATCTGCCTATGGTCGGGCCACCAGTGGCAGGCTAACATTTGAATCCAGAGACTGTGGCCGATGAGGATAAGATGTAGGTTCCATGAGGGCAGTGTGTTTTCATCTCTTCATTTTGTCTGTTTCAGGCTTGGTTCCTAAAACAGTTCCTGACACATACAAAGCACCCAAGAAATGTCCAGAGGAGGAAATAGATGGGTAACTTCAAAGTCCCGCATCTTAACGTGTTACACCGCTCCCTGCGCAGACACTGACACACGCCATCTGCAGCCTCCCTGGGGTGTTTGTCAAAACAATATGGACCACAGATAGATGCCAAGGAGCTGCGGTGTGCAAAGGCTAAAAGAGGTGTCTAAGGGAAGGCATCAACACCATTTTCTCTTCTGGAACGTGAGTAATGTTACATCTGGCAGCAATGATGAGTTTTTTCCCGACTCTCAGAAGGTTTTCTGGATATCACTATTTTTGGACAATCTCGTTTGACAGTTACTTTTGCTTTTTTAAAATAAATATTTTTTCTTTGGAATGGCTGCTCATTTTTTTTTTTCAGAGTAAATATAAATTTGCTCATTGCAAACAGCATTACCTCTTGCCCATCAGATTGTGGGAATGACTGGCCCAGCAACAAAGAAAAGGTTTTTAAAGTTTAATTAGCAGCCAAAACAGAAATCCTGCCCCCTCCTTGACAGGCCTCTGGGTCACCAAGACACTAGGGCCATAAAACACAGGGTGGTCTGATCGCTGGTCTGATTGGGCACAGCTCTGTCACTCCAGGACAACCGTTTTAATAACAAAACAGCATTAGCAAGGGCCCAGGAGAGGAAACAAGTCAAGCTGATGGGGCGCTAGCTTGAGTTGCAGCTAGGGAAACTGATCAAGGTAGGACAGGATTCTTAGTATGTTTGCTTTTAAAAATGACTGTAAACTCCTGCAGCAAGGCTAATGCTAAAAAGAATCTCTCTTCCAAAAACCAAGTTCATAGCTTCAGAGAAAACAAGTAACAGGAAGAAGGGCAAACTTCAAACCCTGCAAATGTGGACAGCAGGAATGTTGGACCCAAATGGTTAGAAAAACAACTTCTGCAGGTGGTGCCTGAGGCCTGCTCCCCAGCACAGGGTGACAGAGGAGTGTTCCCTGCACAGGTGGCTGAGGAATGCTCCCCACATGGTGGCTGAGGAGTGCTCCCCGTACGGTGTGACTGAGGAATGATCCCATGCACTGGAGTTTTGCAATATGAACCTTAGAGTCATTACACTCCGTTCTTCAACAGCGTTCATGAAAACAGGTGACTAGGGTCTCTGCTACTACAAAAGAGGCCGAGGCAGAGGGAAGCCCGCTGCCACTTGTAGCTGGCATGAGCTATGAAGCTCTCTTCTCCAGGGCTCAGTTTCCCTCTCAGTAAAATGAGAAAACTTCAGAATCTCAGAGCTCTGCCCTCCCTGATCTCAGATTCTACCGTCTGTTTCTCTCCCACTCCTATCAGTAACAACAACAAAGCACCATGCATGTCAGCACCTGAACAGAAGGAGGAGGAAGCAGCAATGTGGGAAATTTGATTCAAAGACATCATCATGGCTCCTTTTCTATAATTTTTCTTCTGCTTTTGTCACAATTTATCAAGAATTCTACTTTGTGTTTTTTTTTTATTGTGGTAGGAACTGGATTACTATTTTATAGAAAAACAATCCGTGAATTTTTTTTATACTAATGAAATACCATTGAGTCTAGCTGTGCCTTAAGTTACTTTATTGTTACAATCAACTTTACCACAACTTAGTTTACATGAGAAACGCACCTGCTTCAGGACTAAATTAGCTGAGTTATGACAACCGTGTAAGATGTAAGGAGACAAGACAGAGGACTCCCGCCTCTCAAGTCTTCCCCCTCCCTGAGCATGGCTCCCACTGAAGGGCCAGTCCCCTACAGAGGTGGTACCCTTTTTAGGAAAATATGAAGGAACCACATGGCACACTTTTTTGCTTATCATATTTTTAAAGATTCACCCAAGCTATTACATTTATAAGTTTCTTTTACTGTTAAATAAAATATTCAATTAAGTAAACACACCATGATGATTTTTATCAATTTACCTGTTCTGTGGTATTAAGCTATTTTCAGTTTTCCTCTATTTTGAATAAAGTCTTCCTGTGGCCACATTTCTTTATTTCCTTGGATAAATACCAGAAAGCTAGTAATAAAGTCACGTGGTAAATGTTTATAATGCTGGAAGGAAGGGGGGGATCTTTCTAAGTGGTTTCACTGTTTCCATGTGTTGGCTACCATTTGATCTCTTTACACCCAGTTGTCCCAGTAGAAACACAATGCTGTTACTATGGTTTTAATTAGCATTTCTTTTTTTTTGATTTAATAAAGTTTTATTTTTCCAAATGTACAGCTGATTGAACCTGTTCAAGCATCTTCACCAGCAGCTGGGGCATCTCCACCCTTTGTGTTTCTGGTGTAAATTACTTGGGCTCTGTGCTTTGAAACCAGCTTGATAAGCCCTTTACTAAGAAGCTCCTGAAGAGCTGCCCTGGCCAAGGAACCACGAATCTTCAGTCTCTCAGAGACCACGGCTGGAGTAATAAGTTTATAGTTGGGCACTTCCTTACAGAGTTTGTTGTATGTAGCCTTGTCAAACAGGACTAGATTGTTGAGCTTGTCCCGAACTTTGCCTTTGGACCACTTCTTCTTTTTGGCCTTGCCACCGGACTTATTTACTGGGTCTTTGTCTTTTTTGGCCGACTTTCCGGCATCTTTCTTCTTCTTGTCATCCTTGGGCGGCATGATAACAATATTCAAGAGCTACTTGGCCAATCACATATTTTTTTAATGAAGATCCATTCAGATATTTTGTCTATTATGTAGTGTGCTATCTTCTTGAATAGGCCTTTATACATGCTAAATGTATACATCTGATCAAGTCCTGGGTATACACTTTTTTACCCTCTGTGAATATACATTATATACATTTTATCCTCTGTGAATATACATTATATACATTTTCATTCTCTGTGAATAGACATCATATACATTTTTACCCTGTGTGAGTATACATTATATACATTTTACCCTCTGCGAGTATACATTAGATACATTTTTACCCTGTATGAGTATACATTATATACATTTTCACTCTGTGTGTATACATTACATACATTTTGCCCTCTGTGAATATACATTATATACATTTTTAACCCTCTGTGAGTATACATTATATAAATTTTTTGCCCTCCATGAACTGCTTTTTTTAAAATTTATTTTCTTCACACTGGCTTTTGAAGAAAAGTTTTAAACTTTGGTAAAGTTGAATCTTTTCATTGTCTCTTCAATGGGTGCTGCTTTTGGCCTGTTTGTCTTTTGAGACAGGATCTCATATGTCCCAGGCTGGCCTCAGACTCATTACATAGCTGAGGAAGACCTTGATTGAGTTCCTCAGCCTTCTCCACTTGTGCAGAGATTTAAGGAGTTCACTATCAGCACCTATGCCTTAGAATTTTTTTATTTCATTTTATTTTATTTTTGCCTTAGAAATCTTTGCCTGCCTGGGAGTCACAGAAGTTTTCTGCAGTATTTTCTCCTTGGAATTTTATAGCTTTAAATATGTCTGTCTCTGGTCCACGTGAAGCAGCATTCCACATGGTTGGAGGCAAGACTGGTCTTTCACATTGACAACGAGTTGTCCCAGCACTATTTACTGGAAACAAACTTGTCATGTCATTGCTTTATTAAGGCATTTTTTTCTAAAATCAATTGATGGCTTACACACATGGCTATTTCTGGATGCCCCCCTTTGATTCCATTGATCTTCGTGTCAACTCCTAACATCAATATTGCACTATCTTGACACCAATAACATTAGAGCACACTGTAAGATCAGCTTTCATCTTTTCCTTTAAAGATTTCTTTGGCCAGTTTAGAGTCTGTCTAATTTCCACACAGATGCTACAAAAATCTTGCCAATTTCCCCAAAGCCTGCTAGTACTTAGGTTAGTATTCATTCCATACCTTGATTCGGAAAGCGACGGAAGCCCTAAGATCGCCAGCTCCTCTAACACGTGAGTGTGGCACCACACTCAACTTCTTCAGCTCATCTTTGGCTCCTCCCTCAAAGACTGCCATTTTAGTGAGCTATTCATACCTAAATGTTCCATTTTAGTGCCACTGTAAATAGGAACATTTAATACTTTTGTTTTCTAATTGCCCATGGCTACTATTCAGAAGTTCCTCTGCTTTTTATAGTGACTTTTTAATCCAGAAACATGGCTATATTCATTCAGAGAACTCAGATTCTCTACAATTTTTTTTAAGTCTTAAATTTGCTGAGATTTATTCTGTGTTCCTTCTCTTGGGGAAGATGGCATATGCTTGTGAAAAGATGGAGAGTTCTTTGAAAGGGTCAAGGTGGTTAGTGGTAATGTTCATGTGTCCCTGTCTACAGGTCCTCGCCACACTCCAGTACAGAGAACTGGGGTACACAATGGGACCCACCCCTTTCCACTCCTTCTTCAGCTCTAACAGCTACTGTTCTGTTTCGGCATGTTAAAGCTCTGTTACCAGACATTTGAGCAATGAGGATTCTTATATCATCTTGATAAATACCTTTCATTATTATGAAATCTCTCTCTCTTTGTGTGCCCAATAACCCTTTTCTAAAGTCTACTTTGTTAGATATTGATTAGAGACCCTCTTGATGCCTTTTCTGTCCTTTTGTTCACAAATTATTTGTCTTTGCATTGAAGAAGGTCAAAGATATACATTAGACAGTTGTCTTGTTTTTACATATGGCAATCTGGTAAACACATGGTGTTAACTGGGTCACTGCTGTGTTAAACCTTCCATATTTGCTTTCTGTTTTTTCTTTATCCTCTACTTTTTTTCTGAATTGAAATTTTTGCTGTTGTGTTTCCTTCTACTGCACTTAGTCTTCCCTGTTACCTTACTATTAATAATTCAAGCTCTGTGTTTCTCGTGGCTCATCTACGGAAACAGAAGATCTGCAGGTTGCAGCATCTCTGATGTAATGAATCAAGGAGACCAAACAGCCACACATACAGCATAGTTGGGTTACAATAAAACCTTATTTGCCAAAAGTAGGTAGCAAGATGCCTAACTCATGTGGAGAAGCAGACTTAAAGTAGAGATGTCTGACTCTACATCCTGGGATAGAGGGTTGGTAGTTTGCCAATCTAGGCTCCAAGGTTTACTATCTACACTTGAATTGCTCATGATCTGTCTTTAAACAGTATCTTCTCAGCATCAAATATTCCTGAATGCTGAGTCATCTCTCCTGCCTCCTGTTTTACTTTTTAAATTATATCTATCTCTATAGATATAGAATATAAATATAGATATATTTTGTGTGTATGTACACAATATGTATGTGTGTCTGTATATAAATACACACAATATACATGGTTGGGACAGCCATGTAGGTTCTGGGAATTGAGCCTAAGTTCTCTGGAAGAGCAGACAGTGCAATGAGCTCTTGTACCATCTCTGCAGCCCCTGTTTTACTCTTTTTGAGAGGAAATCTTGTTATATTGCCCAGATTGGACTGGAACTTCTGGGCTCAGGTGATTCTCTTGCCTCAGCCTCCTAAGTAGTAGCTGGGGCTTCAGGTACATGACATCATGTCTGCCACTCAGCAAATACTTAAGTGCCTTTTTAACTAACATAACAGAAGAGATGCCAATAAACCATACATTTCACGGAGTTTTTGTTGTGCTTTCTTGGAGTTTTATTGTGCGTGAATAATAACCAGTGGTAGCCATTTCTTTGACAGTTCACATCAGGAAATACAATGTTATGAATTTGTGCCAGGTTAATAATATATTTTGTTTGAACTTTTTGTTGTCATTGTGTTGTTGTTGTTAAATAAAAAAAACCTAGAGTTCCAAAAAAAACAAAAAACAAAAACAAAAACAAAAACAAAACACAGACGACAACAACAACAACAAAAATAGCATCTTCTCATTCTGGGTACTGTCTACACACTTGACAACAGCCCACAATGGTCTTTCTGCCCCCGGTGCTACTGTCAGATTTCAGAGCTACCACAGGTAAAAGCGGCACAGTATGCTGTTACTGGATTTGTTCAGACAGCCACCTTCACAGAGGTTTTAGAATGAGAACGAGTGTCTTTACATTCGCGCTATCTGAAACTCCTCATTTTTTCGTGTGGATCTTCATTTCTACCTGAAGTCATTTTTTCCAGCCTGAAAAGCCGTCTTTCGGCATTTCTGGAGGTGTGAGTCTGTCAGTCATGAAGCCTCAGCTTCGGTTTGTCTTGAAAGGTTTCTATTTTGACTTGGGTTCTGATGGAACTTTACTGGATAAGAACCCTAAGTTGACATTTCCCCCAGAACTCTGAGGATGCATCTACTGCTTCTGGCTTGGACTTGAGATGTCTTTTCTTCTGTTTCCAGATTCTCTTTGCCTTTTATTTCTTAGCATTTTGACTGTTATGACAATGTGCTTTCCTCTGTGGGTCTCTAATCAAGTTTTGCCGAGCATCTTCAACATCTGAGTTCATCTGATATTTGGAACATTTAGAATTATGACCTCAAGGATTTTCTTTTTCCTCTCTCTCCCTTTTAAAAATGATTTACTGATGTATTTATTATGTTATGTACCTGTATGAATTTTATGTGCACTATATGCATGTAGGTTTCCAGAGACACCAGGAGAGGGCATTGGATCCCCTAGATCTGGGATTACAGAACTGGCACGTGGGCTCTGGGAACCAAACCCAGGTCCTCTGCAAGAGCAGCAAAGGCTCTTAACTGTTGAGACATGTCTCCAGTATTTCTCTTCTTCTGAGACTCCAAATACAACATGTTAGAATATGTGATCATTCACAAGTTAGTAAGGTAGTGTTCATTTTTCCTTAATTATTATTGTTAGTGATATATCTTTAAGTTTCCTGATTTATTTATTTATTTATTTCTGCTATTGCCTAATACACTTGTGAGCCAATCTTGGGAACTTTTCATTTCAAACGTACTTTTCACAACTTGAAGTTCCATGTTTTCTTTCTTTTATTGTTCATCTTTCTCCACTGTAGTCCTGTATAACCGTAAGTCCATAAACACAATCATAATTGTTGTTTTACACCCTTATAAAGTCCCCTGCTGTCATGTCTGTAGTTTCTGGGTCTGGTTTTGGTCACAGACTCTCCTCTTGTTAGCGGTCACACTATATGAAGATATATCTAGTATTACCTGACTGCAGGTGAGACACTTAGAATGAGCATCTAAGTATTTAGATTTTATCTGTCCTTTGAAAAGTCTGGTTTTGCTTTTCAGGTAATTAAGTTACATGCTTATCAGTTCTCTCCCCTTCAGGCTCCTTTTCAAACACTGCCACCCAAGCTTCAAGGAGTCTTTATTCTAGAGCAGGGGTAACAGAGTTTTTCTGTAAAGGACTAGACAGTAAATATTTTAAGGCTTTATAGACCTCAACTCAATGACGTCAACAAATGAGCTGACTATGTTACAATAAAACTTTATTTATAAAAGCAGGCTTATGGACGAGGGTTTGATCCCATGGCCACAGTTTCCCAAACTCGACCCTAGATCTAGGTTAACTCTACTACTAATGGTTCTTCTGGGGTGTCTACCCCCAATGAAGTAATTTATTCTGGGTATTTGGATGACAAGCATCTTTCATTCTTAGGCAAGCTATGGCTATTACTTATTTTATAGTTTCTGCTCCCTGTCTTTCTCTTTTCCCTAACCACCTTCTTTGCTTGACTTCGTGGAATGCGGCCCAAACTTCAGAAGACCCCAAGGCGCAGGCACAGAGC